CTTCAGTTATAAGGTACTGGTCTTACCATGATCCCACCTTGGTCCTTCTCATTTTTCAGATGAACTGTTGGAGACAAAGGGAAGCTGGCTGGTTTGTGCAACCTGAGGAGGAGGCTGAAATGACATCTAGATTAGAACCGAGTCTGTGCTTTTTAGACTGCAAAACTGTTGCCTTCTAAATGTCTGCCTTGTCCTTATTTTTGGCATTGGTGATGCAGCTGAGGAAACTCAGAAATGATGCTTTGCTTAATATTTAGTGAGAGCGTGTGGCTCTCAGCGGCTCACAGTGCACACTCAGTGTTACTGGATGCCCATCACTGACCTGGAAGGGATGGTCCATAGCAGGACTTAGCTGTCATCCAACCAGCTGCTGAGACATGCAGATTGAGAAGTGGATGCCATTCCCGGACAAAGACAAGTGTCATGGGAAGTTAATGGGACCCACCCAACCTGCGGGCGTTTGGTGAGAACTGGGAGCAGCCGGCACTGGAGTGCAGATCCTTAGGGACCCTCAGCATGGGCAGCCATCTGAATGCAGTCAGTGTTTTCCCCTCTCCTGCAAGAGAACTTGGGACAGATCAGAGCATTCTGAGTGTGGCTGGGAGAAGGGCAGAGTGGCAGAGTATGCTGATTCAAAGATAAGCCCCTTTGTGTCTCTCTGCTTCTGTGTAATTTGTGGACCGGAAACTCATTAATCAGTACACTGACTGTCCTTGCCCCTGAAGGGGACCTTGAAAAAAACTATGTCTGCTCACTTTTAAATTTTATCTCTGGAGAATTATTCATTGTTTTTACAGAAATGGCCTTCAGAGTGGGCCACGCTGCAGAACAGGCGACTAAAAAAATTAGAACATACACATCTGGGACTCAAAGCATTACAAAGAAAGACTTAGCAGCTAGCAGATTAAAAAGGCTTGAGCAAGAGTGTCCCACCATATCTTTTCTCATGCCTCTCCACACCTACTGCACATGCCCACGCACACAGACACATGCATGAACACACACATCATGTACATACATGCACACACAACACACACACGCACACTTTCCACACTACCCCGAGGCTCTGGTACTTGCTTTTAAATCTGTCTTTTTACTACAATGACTAATGATAAGGAAAACACTCCATGAAAATGTACATTTTAATTGTAAACTTGACATTGAAACCGGGGTGGTTTTCAGTTAAATTTTTACGTGTTATTCTAATTCATAGCATTATGTTCCCATTAGTAGAGAGAAGTTAAGGAGCAACCTGTAAAATGATTTTAAGACATAATGAAAAACTCCTACTTAATGTTTTTCTTTTTCCATACTTCCCTTCCAAACTAAAGTTAAGTTTGCCGTCTACTCTGAAATTGGCAGTTTTCTATAACTTTATGAAGGGGAGATTCAGAAGTGAGGGACCACTTTGAAAGAGTAGAAAAGGATATGCTTGTTTTTTGAATTCTTACTCATCTCAAAGTGCTATAAACTTTATGAAGGGGAGATTCAGAAGTGAGGGACCACTTCTTTGAAAGAGTAGAAAAGGATATGCTTGTTTTTTGAATTCTTACTCATCTCAAAGTGCTATGGCTTAGCAACCAAAGTTTTGGGTTTTACAATAGCTTGGACTTCCTAAAGGGTGAAAAGTGGTGTCAGGGTTACAGCTCCTTCAGGTGACTTCAGGGGAGGAAAGTCCTAAAACTGGGTGAGCCCACGCCCCACCCAGAGGAGAGACCCCGTGCCTTAGTACTAGCATTTTGTGATTCTATCTTATGTAAAATTTTATTCTACAAATTATATTTCCCCCACAGACTATGTGACATATGAGAAAGATTATTTCAATTATGTTCACTTTTAAAACTGGTTTGAAAAAGAGTTCATTCTGGCCTCTAGCCTAAGTTCATATTGACTTTGTTTAAAAGTAGGGTTATGCAATCTAACAACGCTAGTGCCTTTAATTCTGAATAAAACAGAAACTCTAATAAAAAGAACATTTTTAGTACTCAATTTTTAGAGTAAAAGTAAAAAATGATGAAATTAACAGGATAAAATCTAGAGTCTAATCTGGAAAAGAAACTCATTAAGTTTTACTCATTCTGTTCTCTTTTACCCCTTAAATCCATGGTGTCCATGAATAAAATAATGGTCAGAATAATAACCTCGATGAAGGCAAAGATCAGCTCAATTATCTGCCATCTGGATCCTCAAAAAACAACAGTCTCTGCCACTTAGTAGGGCCATAGGAATATTTGGTGAATGAATGAACCCACAATAAATGCATGAAATACATTCTCAGTCTTTAAAGGATATTCAGTCTAGTGTTACTGTTAATCGGGATAGCTTAAATTCAAATACTCTGAAAATCAGTGGTCTATAACTCACCCATTTTACTGAAATAGTCAGATCATCCTCTTCCCAGCCATTTTAAATAAAAAAAGGAATTTCCCCATGGTGACTATAATATTGAGCTTTTGAGAATATTGCAATTTGGCTTTTTGCTTCTAAAATAATGGGAGAGGCAGAATAATAGAAATGTGCTTTGATAAAGTTACAAAGAGTAATAATGGAGAATGGAGATATTTTCCTGAGGCCAACTAGATGGACAAAATGAAAGCAAATTTTCTTGAAAATAATTTTATTGCTGAAAATATGATACGTGCTCCCTGTAGAGTGATTTCACTGAAACATGAATTAGGACAATGAAGATCCTAGGAAATCTTTCCCCAATTTCTCTAATATTGTTCTTAGCAGAACAGAGGCTACTGGATACTCTGACTTAGAAGTACAGCAAACTCTAATACAATGTGTGATTTTTTGGCATATCTTTAAATACACATTGTCTTAAGTGCCTGAGTTTATTTCGAGCATATTAGAACATCACACTGTCCTATTAGATGAGCATTAGTCCACTCCTATCCCACCTTCCCCTACAATTCCATAAAGCAATGTGCAAACAGCAGAACTAGGCAGTAGCAGCCTCAGAAAATGAATAATGCAGAGTTAGTAAGGGTTGCTGGGGCAAAGCATTTCAGATGTGAAAGAATTTCAAAGTCCACTCTGACAACATCACTGAGAGAAACATACAGGGGTACTTCAGAAAGTTCGTGGAAAATGGAATTAAAAGATAATACTATTGTTTATTCTGGCTCTGTTCACAATAGCCAAGATTTGGAACCAACCTATATGTCCATCAGTGGATGACTGGATAAGGAGAATGTGGTGTGTACACCATGGAATACTACTCAGCCGTGAAAAAGGATGAAATGCTACCACTTGCAGCAGCACGGATGAGCTTGGAAATAATTATGTTAAGTGAAATAAGTCAGGCACAGAAAGAGAAGTACTGCATGTTCTCGCTCATATGTGGAAGTTAAAAACATGGATCTCATAGAGATGAGAGAGGGTCATTTGGTGACTAGTAGCCATTCGTGGAATTGGCATTCATCACATTACCCATGATGAGTAAACAAATCTCTTGAAATGTTTCACCAGCAACTACTGTGGCCAGTTTTACCAGCGAAGGTGGAGTAAACTTTTGAAACAAATAGACCTAAAATTCAATGGCCAGACCTCAACAGAAGTAAATTTTTCCCTCTTAAAATAGTCCAGGATGGGCGTCCTGGTCCAGGTGGGCTCAGATCCACATGGTCTCTCAGGGACTGCAGCTGTTTGGTGGCTCTGCTGTCTGTCTCTAGTAGTAGCGTGGCCACTGTCACTATTGCCAGCCTAAAAGGGGAGAGTGGCCTGGAGGAGGGTGTGAAGAACGTTTTAAGAGCCTGGACAGAAGCAGCAAATGCTAGTTTCACCTGCATTATGTTGCGACGACATATTCACATGGGCACACCTAACTGCTAAGGCCACTGGGAAATTCACTATGGCTGAGTAGCCACATGCCAGCTACCATGAAAAGAGGGCAGGACTGAGACAGCTGGCAGTCTCTGCCACACTGCTTTATTACAAGGGGTAGCAATGACCTTATAGTACCCTCTGTGCTCCTCACTGAATATTAGTACTGACCTTTTGCTAACAATTTCTGATCTATGCCCAAACTCAGGCACAGAGAATATAAGTCATGGTCATGTGGGTTGTGGGTATATATATTGGGCTATTCAGAGCATATGGCTATGCACACTGGGATTTGGGGTCTGCACTTAGATTAAGAACAGGGTGATAGGAGTCTGTGTCACTGACCTGATCTTAAAGACACCCTTTGTGATTTACCACCTCAGTCACAGTGCTGGGGGGATTGGCATGTGGCAGGCAGGAATGACACCCTGGAATCCAAGCAATAGATCTTGGAACAGGGTGATAGGAGTCTGTGTCACTGACCTGATCTTAAAGACACCCTTTGTGATTTACCACCTCAGTCACAATGCTGGGGGGATTGGCATGTGGCAGGCAGGAATGACACCCTGGAATCCAAGCAATAGATCTTGGGACCTCATGGTGGGGAATTGCTTCCTGGAAAATCCATCTAGAGCAGCAGAAATCTAGATACTGGATAACAAGGGCAGGGAGAGGGAGGAATGTGACCCAGGCAGGGGAAGTGGGCAGGGGTCCCAGGCACCCAACTGGTATTGCAGGCATGTCTCCCCTCCTAAAGGGGAAGCAAGGTGTTAATGTAGTTGAATGCCAGGGACTAAGATATTTCTCTGGCCTGAGCTAGAACTGTGGATGCAGAGATCAAGCAAGAAGAGAATTTAAGTTAGGAGTAATGTTGATGTTTAGAAGTGATCCCAGGGTCCCCGGGGCCAGATGGGAGCAAGACACACCAAACCACCAGCTCCTGGCTGTTGGGCCATGATTCATGTCCAAGTGGGGATACTGAGGCTCCGCATGCTGCTGCCTTAGTCAGGGTTGGCTCAGGAACTCAGGTGCTGTGGGAAACTTGGGTGGGTCCAGCTTGGGGGTGGGGGCAGCATTAGGGAATGTTGAAACAAGGGAAGCCTTGACAGCTTATCTTCTGAAATTTCATTGCAGCTGTTAGTGCTACAAAATGTGTTTCATTTAATTTTTAGTCACCCTGCAGTTCTTCAAGAAATATTGAACAAATGTTGGCAGACTCTATCAGTAGTATGAAGGCATATGGATTTCACCAGGTAAAAGACTTACATTCTGTCTTCAGAAGGCTAAATGCAAGGCCATTTGCAGCAGTGTTTCACAAATTAGTTAATTGGCCTCATGCAGACTTGAAATTAAGCAGCACAATGTGAAATCCGGCTTAAGAGCTGGAAACCTGTTTGTGTGGAGCTAAGAAAGTCTTAAATGCCATGGAAAGAACAGATGCAGAGATGGAGCTGCTAAACTCCTCACTGAAGATCCCAAGTGGAGGCGATATTCCAGACTGCTGCAGACACTGAGGGAAGACTGAGGCCTGAGAGCGATAAAGGGAGCATCGCACTTGGCAGAAATCATGAGCTCATTGCTTTGTTGCCATCACGGCCACTGTGCCAGGAACGCCTCAGCCACTCAGATCTCAGCAGCAGTGGAGAATCGAAAGGGAGTTTCCAGTAACACTGCCCAGATGACATTATGTCGATGACTGTTGAGAAAGACAGAGGGTGCCTGTATTCATTCAACCAATGTTTATTGAGTGTCTACTATGTGCTAGGCACTGTTATTGGAATTGGAGACACATTTTATGAACAAATTAGATGACGTTCCTGCCCTCAGGAATTCTGGATGGGAGAGACAGCTGATAAATACGTACATCTATGAAGTTGGTGATTGTAAGGGCTGTGGAGGAGAATAAAGCAGGTGAGGGATGCTGGAGGATGGGAGCCGGTATTTTAGAATGGTGATCAGAGAAGGCAGCTCTGAGAAGGTGACATCATGGAAGAGACGTGAAGGAATGGGGGAGAGAACCATGTGGATGTCTGGGGGAAAGTGTGTTCCAGGCAGCGGGAACGTCAGGTGTAAGGGCACTGAGGCAAGAGCTTAATTGACGTGGTCAAGGAGCAGCAGATAATTCGAGTGAATGAATGAGCAAATCACTCGCCAAGCTTCTCTGTAGGACAAGGTAATAAAACGGAGGCTTCCTACTTTGGGGGCAGTTGTGAGGGTCTGATGAACGATGTGGTGGGAAGATGCTCTGTAAGTATTCCCATCAAAGGCTGGGACCGAAGCTTTCTGCTGAGGACTGACGTGGCCTCATTTTCTGCATCCGTAGCTGCGCACGTGCTGACAGCTCGCACTGCCCGTCTGGGTCTCCCTGCCTGGAACCCTGGGCACCCGAGCCAGCGTCCAGCCTCTGCCCTTCTGCCATTCACTCCTCAGCCTTCCCCTGGACTTCCCCACGCTTGGCTCACAACCCTGAGTCCTTGACTGACATGCTTCCAGCAAAACAGTCCTAAGGAGGACATGATGGTTTTCTGAATAGAGAAAGTAAAGATAACCTTTTAAAGATTTTGCTAAAAGTGAATTTCCTGGAGGAATTCTTAGAGAAACTCAAGATAAGTTCTTAAGTTTTCTAGCTGCCTTGACTAAATACAGAGGGGAAAGGACAGATCTCATCTGCTATTAATCTGTGAAACTCATTAATTTGATTTCGTTTCCCACTGAGCCCATACACAATTACACTGCAGATTAAAAGGGAGTAGATTAAGTGAACAGATATGATGGGGGAGGGGAGAGGGGAGAAGAAGAATGGGTAAAGGGTTACGAAAATCAACTACAATGTATCCTGAGAAGTTAAAATAAAAAAAAATTTAAAAAACTAAATAAGAAGGAGTAGATTTACTAAATATAGCACTCTCAGACATCTGAGTATCCCGGGTAAAGGGTCACGAAAATCAACTACAATGTATCCTGAGAAGTTAAAATAAAAAAAAATTAAAAAAACTAAATAAGAAGGAGTAGATTTACTAAATATAGCACTCTCAGACATCTGAGTATCCTCTTAACAACCAAGTATTAACGTGTTATTATTTACTTATTTTTCCTTAAGTAGACTCACTTTTTAAACTTCTAAGCAACAATATCCATGATAGTCACAGTTTGATGTTATATGTTTTCTAATCATTTAAACATAAATACATATGCATGTGGGAGATGAACAAAGCTTCACCTTTACTTTTTTTTCTGTTTAAATTTAGAAATTGCTTGCAGCTCTATTATGTATTTTGGGCTTGTAAACAGCTTCTGTAAAGGGATGGCAAATTTTAACAGTCATTTCAAACACCATAACACATTCTTTGGTTTTTACAATTATCAGCAAACAAAGGGAGCTTAGCTCCAGGCACGAAAACAGTGTAAGAAAAAAAGAAAAGAAAAGTTAAAGCACAAAAGTTTGGTTACATCAGAAGCAAAGTATAGTTTATGAACTATCACTACATTGACTGTGATTTATGACTACTCACGGTGATTAAAAACAAGTATCACTACATTAGGTTTTATATTTTAGTTGTAGTGAAATAATTTAACAGCAAGGATGTCTTTATCTTTCTATAAGAAAACACAAAAGATAAAAAGCTGTTACTCGTGGTAGAGAAGAAAGTACAGTTAGTCTTTTCGGGGCCTTTCAGCTTGTTTTAGTACTTGGCTAACCAAGGCTTTTATGGGTTCACAAAGTTATAAATTCCGTTTTCTTATGTGCACTCAGAAGACTGTGTCCAAGTAAACAAAGTACTTTTTAGGTCTAAGTGATTTGTTTTGTTCATTTATCTTTAGTTTGTGAAGGAAATGAATTTTCTTGAATGTGCTTAATGCCACAAAACAGCACACTTAAAAATGGTTAAGATGGGGCCGGCCCGGTGGCGCACTGGAGAGTGCGCCGCTTGGGAGTGCGGTGGCGCTCCCGCTCCTTGAATGTGCTTAATGCCACAAAACAGCACACTTAAAAATGGTTAAGATGCGGCCGGCCCAGTGGCGCACTGGAGAGTGCGCTGCTTGGGAGTGTGGCGGTGCTCCCGCCGAGGGTTCGGATCCCATGTGGAGACTGGTTCCCGCTCACTGGCTGAGCGCGCAACACCAAGGGTTGCGATCCCGTTGCTGGTCCCCGGTACTGGCGCGACACTGAGGGTTGCGATCCCGTTACCGGTCAGTAAAAAAGACAAAAAGGAAAAAAAAAATGGTTAAGATGAAAAATTTTATGTGTATTTTACCCCAGTTAAAAAAAAAACTTTTCTGTTTTTAAAGGAACACTCACATTTCTTGTTGTAGATTCTTCCTTTTCAAAGGATGCTTTTAAAAAATATTTTTCTTTTCTTAACAAAAATATTCTTGTTGAATGACCTGAATTCATGTGTAAGTACCTCATTTTTGGACATACCGTTTGAGGGCATGCAGATTTCCAGCTGAGATTGCTCTGGGGGTGTATATGTTTCCTGCTGAAGCTGTCAGCTATTGTAAAGCAGTATTTACACTGGCTCCATGAAATAGTGCATTTACACTGGACTTTAGGAAAGCAAATTTGGAGCAGGTAAGGAGTATTTATTGAGTTCTTACTACGTGTTACACACTATACTAGGCACTTTTTAAAGTTATTTAACCTCACTATAACCCTATGAAAAGTTTCTTGGCATTTCACTTAGGGGGAAACAGCCTGAAAGAGTTTCGGTAATCAGGCCTGGGGTTATGCAGCCGGGTAGCAGTGGAGCCAGCCTTGGGCACTGCCGACCCCAGATGCATGCTTTACCCACAACACCAGCTCATCTCCCTAGCAGGACAGAGAAAGGTGGACAGAAAGCAGTGTGCCTAGGACCCTCGTCCTCACAGAAAACTGCTGGATTTGCTCACCAGTGTTTGTTTTTGTTTCTTTGAACAGAAGGAAGAATCTGTGAAGAAAAAACAAGATGAAGAAATGAAACAAATAGATGAAGAGAGAACCAAGCAGATTTATAAAAACTGGAAAGAAGATTCAGAGTGGCAGGCATCTTGTGAGTACCTAGAGGCCTCAGTAGCACGTTGGAGTCTCTCAGCTGATTCTTTAATACAAGGATACATCTAGGAAGCAATCAAAGTGGGTTGTTGGGAGATGTCTTAACACTAAATTATTACTCAAGTGCTTATGAGCTACTTTTGAATAGCAAAATTGTTCTCATTAATCTCATACCATCACAGTTAGGATGTATCTATATGATGGAATGGTATATAGCTGTGAAAAACACGTTTTGGGAGAGTGCTTAATGACCTTGGAATATGTTTATATCTCTTAGCTTGAAGAAGAAAAGACATTATAAAAATAACATAAAAATATCACAATGTAAAAATGTCCAGGTAGATGAAGAAAGAGAACAGGAAGGTTATTAATATATTAACATTAGTTTTCTTGGAGAGGTGGGATTTAAGATTATTTATTTGAATTTTTCTTCTTGTTATTCTGCTTCCCCCCACCTCAATTTTCAACAATGAACACAATTTAACTTAGTAATCAGAAGAGCTCAGGAATAATGGGTTGGATATATCAGCATCCCTCCCATACCTGGGACCCTCCCTGACTCCCTTTTGAGTTAGCACTGCCAGAAACGCACCTTCTAGGAGAGAAGAAGTCCGTGCAGATGGCAGTGGAGCAGAGGATGCTCAGAATGCTAGAAGAATTCAGGCTTGGGAAAGGATTAGGGTGTCCTCCTGACTTGGACAAGGACGACAAACTGGCAGATCATGCCTCGAGGCAGCTCGATGAGAGAACAGGTGTGGCGATATTTGCAGGATGTTAAGAATCCTAAATTGCCCTGCAGCTCCATCACAACAAATGCCATTAAAATAACCATTTTTGTGAAATGAAAAAATTTGCACGATCCAATCAGTGGCCTTCTTGTGCTATGCAGTAAAATCCTAGTATAATGGAATGTTTGGTATCTCCTTGAAGTCAAACATAACAGGACTTGACCAATCATGCCTGAAGTGGAAATACACTCAGTAAAAATTATTCTCACATTCTGCTTTAGGGTTTTTAACACTATGTTGCTAAAATGCAAACACAAACCCCTTTGTTTTACAAAGTAATACACAAAGGCAGCCATGGGATGTTTTTATGTGTATCAACATGCTTTGCAATTATCTGTGGTTAAGCATCCCTTTATTTTTCTGTGTGTTAGGCTAATTCACATATGATCCAGCCCCTGTGAGCTCTAGGTGTGCCTCTGCACAGCCACGTGCTGCTGTGTGGTCCCGATGCCTGCTCTCTGCTCAGGGCTCCTGAGCAGATCCAGTGTGAGCGGGTGAGCGATAGCTGCCTGGTTATCCAGCGCCCCTGCCAACTTGAGCTCAGTCTCAGACTCATGACTTAGTGTTGCCAACTGCAAGAAGTTCTTGCACACATTTTCCACTTCTGTCACATCCCTTCCTCCTCCTCTTCCTTCTCTCTCTCTCTCAGAAAACCCCCAGCCTCTGCCATAAACGCCGGGCAGCAAGCATTGGCAGTGATGGTTCACTGTTATGATATAAGCACATGGCAGACTCCTGCTGTGAGCGAGCCTGCTCTGTTCCCACTGTGCAGTCCTGAGTCTTCCCACCGTCTCTGCAGGCTGATGAGGGCCTTTCTCAAACCCCACTGTTTTTCTAGTGCGAAAATCCAAAGCTGCTGATGAGAAGAGGCGCTCCTTGGCTAAACAAGCACGAGAAGACTATAAGAGGCTGTCCCTGGGCGCCCAGAGAGGGAGAAGCGGGGAGCCCCTGAATGTTCCACAGAAACCGAAAAGACCTCCCCTTCCACCCAAGCCTCAATTCCTAAACCCCGCGAGACACCCTCCGAAACCTCTTAGGTAAGAAGCCACACAGATGGCTTTAAGCGTAAACCTTGAAATGGGTTGATTAAAGGCAAATTGTATGACCTGCTGTGGGGAGTGGAGGACGAGCTGGACCCTTGTGTCATTCAGCCTTCCCTCTAACCTGGTCTGGCATCCCTCCCCTTTTTATCTGTAAAATAGCCAGTTGTTACAATTAGTACACCCAGTGACACAGGGAAGATGCACACAGAGCTGGATGACTTCCTGTGCTCCCCCACCCCACCCAGGACAGCCAACGAGCCAGGGAGGGGAGAAAGGAAACAACCAGGCTCCATCTGTGCCCCAGATCACTCTTAGTAGTAAAAGAATATCAAAGTAGGAACTTACAGGCTTGCTGACTTTCACGTCATCAGTTGGACTACGTTTCCACTGCTGAGGAGTAAAGGTTTGATGGTAATTCTTATTCTGGGATTTATAGTCAACTGTATATCTTGAGAATTTGCAAATGCTCCTTATTTGAATGAACTCTTTATTTGGTGATGATTTGCCCTGTAGGCTGTGGGGGAATTAGGAAGAACAATTTGTTTTGAAATATCCCTGAAGAAAAGTACAATGATGCCTTATGTTTATTGATACTTAAATCATTTTTCCTGGTTGTTGAGATGACTTTGTTTTTAAATATCCTAATATTTAGAAATAAATATTTAAAATCAAATATCAGTTGAATGAAACAGGACTGTCTAATGCCTTGCCTTCTGAAATAAAAATGAGAAATACTTCTCTGTTAAGAGGATGGAGAAATGAAAAACAAACAAAAATTTTCTTTCCAAGCAAAGGAGTCAGTCGTTACCTTCAAGGTTTTTTGGTTTTTTTTTTTTTTTTTTTTAACAGGGATTATGACCTCAGAGGAAATAGGAAGGTGGACATTTTTCTCTACTGTAATTATTTCTTCTTACTCAACTGAAAGGTTCCATTTTGGGATATGGGGACCAACACCCAACGATCGTGTTCTACACACACAGTGACAGTTTGGGGAATGATTTTTTTTTTTCATATGGACACCAAAACAAGAAAAGTAGTCAGGAAAAGTCAAGGAAAGTAGTCCCTTAGTTTTGTGACAGGTTACACAGGTGGGGGGCCCCTGCACACGGTCTCTCCAGAGCTGGATTTGGCTGTGCATGCGGCCAGGAAGCCTGGACAGGGCTGTCTGTGCAGCCCACTCCTGTCCTCTGTCTCCTCCAGGGTAGCGTGGGAATATGGCTTGCAAGGTGTTTCTTCCAAACAGTATTTTTAGAGCACAGTGTGTTTGATTGACAGCAATGAAGGTGGCCTTAAAGGAGCCGGCCCGGTGGCGCACTGGATAAGTGCGCTGCTTGGGAAGCGCGGCGGCGCTCCTGCCGAGGGTTCGGATCCCACATACAGACGGAACTGTCTGGTTTCCCTTGTAAATACGTGTTCTTTGGCAATTCAGACTTTGGTCACTGCACATTCCCAGAGAAGTGCCTTGGCCTCCCAGGACCAGGTCGTGAGCCTCCTTCCTTTCTGTTCTGCTTGAAGACATTGGGAGAAAGAGTGACAGCCATGTCAAAGATGAACAAAAAGAACAGGGGCCAGTTCCTCGCTAGCCGTGATCATCTCTGCTGTCTGATATTGCCTCTTTTGTCTGTTTAAGATAAGCACTAAGGAAATCAGTCACTTTGTAGTTTCTGTGTCATTGGGCAGAAGATGCTGTTATTCCCAAGTACAAGGGTGGTAGTTTTTTTTTAACAGCAGGGAGTAAGAAATTGAAAATGCTGATTGACATTATTAAAAATTCTGGTTCTTTAACAGGCAGTTCTGTTTGAAATAGCTGCTGAAAGCTAAGAAGACACAGTTGGACTAAAAATCCAACTGGAGCTTTGGTTAAAAATATGCCTCTTGTGTTTTACATATACTAATTTACTAATGTGCCATTGTTATTGATTTGTTTTCATTTACAGTATACAAATACTTATCATGGCCATAAGCATATAAATAATATCATATAATCATGTGATAATAAACACACAGTCATGTAGTCAATGTGAATCATCTTTTTCAGTTTCAGGAAGACAGAATTTCACATTTTCATCATGAAGAGAAGATGCATCACGTTGTATCATTTTGAAACATAGTTGTCGATTCATCAGCAGCCCTGTTTCAAAGTATTAGGATGGTTGCTTTTTATTGATTTCCNATGTAAGAAAAAAAAAAAAAAAACAGTTAAAGCACAAAAGTTTGGTTACATCAGAAGCAAAGTATAGTTTATGAACTATCACTACATTGACTGTGATTTATGACTACTCACGGTGATTAAAAACAAGTATCACTACATTAGGTTTTATATTTTAGTTGTAGTGAAATAATTTAACAGCAAGGATGTCTTTATCTTTCTATAAGAAAACACAAAAGATAAAAAGCTGTTACTCGTGGTAGAGAAGAAAGTACAGTTAGTCTTTTCGGGGCCTTTCAGCTTGTTTTAGTACTTGGCTAACCAAGGCTTTTATGGGTTCACAAAGTTATAAATTCCGTTTTCTTATGTGCACTCAGAAGACTGTGTCCAAGTAAACAAAGTACTTTTTAGGTCTAAGTGATTTGTTTTGTTCATTTATCTTTAGTTTGTGAAGGAAATGAATTTTCTTGAATGTGCTTAATGCCACAAAACAGCACACTTAAAAATGGTTAAGATGCGGCCGGCCCAGTGGCGCACTGGAGAGTGCGCTGCTTGGGAGTGTGGCGGTGCTCCCGCCGAGGGTTCGGATCCCATGTGGAGACTGGTTCCCGCTCACTGGCTGAGCGCGCAACACCAAGGGTTGCGATCCCGTTGCTGGTCCCCGGTACTGGCGCGACACTGAGGGTTGCGATCCCGTTACCGGTCAGTAAAAAAGACAAAAAGGAAAAAAAAAATGGTTAAGATGAAAAATTTTATGTGTATTTTACCCCAGTTAAAAAAAAAACTTTTCTGTTTTTAAAGGAACACTCACATTTCTTGTTGTAGATTCTTCCTTTTCAAAGGATGCTTTTAAAAAATATTTTTCTTTTCTTAACAAAAATATTCTTGTTGAATGACCTGAATTCATGTGTAAGTACCTCATTTTTGGACATACCGTTTGAGGGCATGCAGATTTCCAGCTGAGATTGCTCTGGGGGTGTATATGTTTCCTGCTGAAGCTGTCAGCTATTGTAAAGCAGTATTTACACTGGCTCCATGAAATAGTGCATTTACACTGGACTTTAGGAAAGCAAATTTGGAGCAGGTAAGGAGTATTTATTGAGTTCTTACTACGTGTTACACACTATACTAGGCACTTTTTAAAGTTATTTAACCTCACTATAACCCTATGAAAAGTTTCTTGGCATTTCACTTAGGGGGAAACAGCCTGAAAGAGTTTCGGTAATCAGGCCTGGGGTTATGCAGCCGGGTAGCAGTGGAGCCAGCCTTGGGCACTGCCGACCCCAGATGCATGCTTTACCCACAACACCAGCTCATCTCCCTAGCAGGACAGAGAAAGGTGGACAGAAAGCAGTGTGCCTAGGACCCTCGTCCTCACAGAAAACTGCTGGATTTGCTCACCAGTGTTTGTTTTTGTTTCTTTGAACAGAAGGAAGAATCTGTGAAGAAAAAACAAGATGAAGAAATGAAACAAATAGATGAAGAGAGAACCAAGCAGATTTATAAAAACTGGAAAGAAGATTCAGAGTGGCAGGCATCTTGTGAGTACCTAGAGGCCTCAGTAGCACGTTGGAGTCTCTCAGCTGATTCTTTAATACAAGGATACATCTAGGAAGCAATCAAAGTGGGTTGTTGGGAGATGTCTTAACACTAAATTATTACTCAAGTGCTTATGAGCTACTTTTGAATAGCAAAATTGTTCTCATTAATCTCATACCATCACAGTTAGGATGTATCTATATGATGGAATGGTATATAGCTGTGAAAAACACGTTTTGGGAGAGTGCTTAATGACCTTGGAATATGTTTATATCTCTTAGCTTGAAGAAGAAAAGACATTATAAAAATAACATAAAAATATCACAATGTAAAAATGTCCAGGTAGATGAAGAAAGAGAACAGGAAGGTTATTAATATATTAACATTAGTTTTCTTGGAGAGGTGGGATTTAAGATTATTTATTTGAATTTTTCTTCTTGTTATTCTGCTTCCCCCCACCTCAATTTTCAACAATGAACACAATTTAACTTAGTAATCAGAAGAGCTCAGGAATAATGGGTTGGATATATCAGCATCCCTCCCATACCTGGGACCCTCCCTGACTCCCTTTTGAGTTAGCACTGCCAGAAACGCACCTTCTAGGAGAGAAGAAGTCCGTGCAGATGGCAGTGGAGCAGAGGATGCTCAGAATGCTAGAAGAATTCAGGCTTGGGAAAGGATTAGGGTGTCCTCCTGACTTGGACAAGGACGACAAACTGGCAGATCATGCCTCGAGGCAGCTCGATGAGAGAACAGGTGTGGCGATATTTGCAGGATGTTAAGAATCCTAAATTGCCCTGCAGCTCCATCACAACAAATGCCATTAAAATAACCATTTTTGTGAAATGAAAAAATTTGCACGATCCAATCAGTGGCCTTCTTGTGCTATGCAGTAAAATCCTAGTATAATGGAATGTTTGGTATCTCCTTGAAGTCAAACATAACAGGACTTGACCAATCATGCCTGAAGTGGAAATACACTCAGTAAAAATTATTCTCACATTCTGCTTTAGGGTTTTTAACACTATGTTGCTAAAATGCAAACACAAACCCCTTTGTTTTACAAAGTAATACACAAAGGCAGCCATGGGATGTTTTTATGTGTATCAACATGCTTTGCAATTATCTGTGGTTAAGCATCCCTTTATTTTTCTGTGTGTTAGGCTAATTCACATATGATCCAGCCCCTGTGAGCTCTAGGTGTGCCTCTGCACAGCCACGTGCTGCTGTGTGGTCCCGATGCCTGCTCTCTGCTCAGGGCTCCTGAGCAGATCCAGTGTGAGCGGGTGAGCGATAGCTGCCTGGTTATCCAGCGCCCCTGCCAACTTGAGCTCAGTCTCAGACTCATGACTTAGTGTTGCCAACTGCAAGAAGTTCTTGCACACATTTTCCACTTCTGTCACATCCCTTCCTCCTCCTCTTCCTTCTCTCTCTCTCTCAGAAAACCCCCAGCCTCTGCCATAAACGCCGGGCAGCAAGCATTGGCAGTGATGGTTCACTGTTATGATATAAGCACATGGCAGACTCCTGCTGTGAGCGAGCCTGCTCTGTTCCCACTGTGCAGTCCTGAGTCTTCCCACCGTCTCTGCAGGCTGATGAGGGCCTTTCTCAAACCCCACTGTTTTTCTAGTGCGAAAATCCAAAGCTGCTGATGAGAAGAGGCGCTCCTTGGCTAAACAAGCACGAGAAGACTATAAGAGGCTGTCCCTGGGCGCCCAGAGAGGGAGAAGCGGGGAGCCCCTGAATGTTCCACAGAAACCGAAAAGACCTCCCCTTCCACCCAAGCCTCAATTCCTAAACCCCGCGAGACACCCTCCGAAACCTCTTAGGTAAGAAGCCACACAGATGGCTTTAAGCGTAAACCTTGAAATGGGTTGATTAAAGGCAAATTGTATGACCTGCTGTGGGGAGTGGAGGACGAGCTGGACCCTTGTGTCATTCAGCCTTCCCTCTAACCTGGTCTGGCATCCCTCCCCTTTTTATCTGTAAAATAGCCAGTTGTTACAATTAGTACACCCAGTGACACAGGGAAGATGCACACAGAGCTGGATGACTTCCTGTGCTCCCCCACCCCACCCAGGACAGCCAACGAGCCAGGGAGGGGAGAAAGGAAACAACCAGGCTCCATCTGTGCCCCAGATCACTCTTAGTAGTAAAAGAATATCAAAGTAGGAACTTACAGGCTTGCTGACTTTCACGTCATCAGTTGGACTACGTTTCCACTGCTGAGGAGTAAAGGTTTGATGGTAATTCTTATTCTGGGATTTATAGTCAACTGTATATCTTGAGAATTTGCAAATGCTCCTTATTTGAATGAACTCTTTATTTGGTGATGATTTGCCCTGTAGGCTGTGGGGGAATTAGGAAGAACAATTTGTTTTGAAATATCCCTGAAGAAAAGTACAATGATGCCTTATGTTTATTGATACTTAAATCATTTTTCCTGGTTGTTGAGATGACTTTGTTTTTAAATATCCTAATATTTAGAAATAAATATTTAAAATCAAATATCAGTTGAATGAAACAGGACTGTCTAATGCCTTGCCTTCTGAAATAAAAATGAGAAATACTTCTCTGTTAAGAGGATGGAGAAATGAAAAACAAACAAAAATTTTCTTTCCAAGCAAAGGAGTCAGTCGTTACCTTCAAGGTTTTTTGGTTTTTTTTTTTTTTTTTTTTAACAGGGATTATGACCTCAGAGGAAATAGGAAGGTGGACATTTTTCTCTACTGTAATTATTTCTTCTTACTCAACTGAAAGGTTCCATTTTGGGATATGGGGACCAACACCCAACGATCGTGTTCTACACACACAGTGACAGTTTGGGGAATGATTTTTTTTTTTCATATGGACACCAAAACAAGAAAAGTAGTCAGGAAAAGTCAAGGAAAGTAGTCCCTTAGTTTTGTGACAGGTTACACAGGTGGGGGGCCCCTGCACACGGTCTCTCCAGAGCTGGATTTGGCTGTGCATGCGGCCAGGAAGCCTGGACAGGGCTGTCTGTGCAGCCCACTCCTGTCCTCTGTCTCCTCCAGGGTAGCGTGGGAATATGGCTTGCAAGGTGTTTCTTCCAAACAGTATTTTTAGAGCACAGTGTGTTTGATTGACAGCAATGAAGGTGGCCTTAAAGGAGCCGGCCCGGTGGCGCACTGGATAAGTGCGCTGCTTGGGAAGCGCGGCGGCGCTCCTGCCGAGGGTTCGGATCCCACATACAGACTGGTTCCCGCTCACTGGCTGAGCGAGGCGCAGGAGCAACGCCGAGGGTTGCGATCCCGTTGCCGGTCCCCGGTCCGGTACGGGGACAACACTGAGGGTTGAGATCCGTTGCCGGACACGGAAAAAGACAAAAGACAAAAAAAAAAAATATATATATATATATATATGTATATATGTATGCACACACACATGCATTTATCTATACTGTATATACACATATATACACAGAATATAAATGTATGTATACACAGCATATATATTATATGTATGTCCTCAAACATTATTTTCAAATTCATTAAATCTAACTTGAAAAACTGTTTGATAAATAACAGAAATCAGGGCGTGTCGAGGATGGCATCCACCTGTGCCCAGGAAGATATCATCCGCTGGTTTAAGGAGGAGCAGGTGCCACTCCGAGCAGGTTACCAGAAGACCTGCGACACCATAGCTCCCTGGTTCCATGGTGAGTGCAGAGATTCCCTCAAGGGACCCTCATCTAACTGTGCATGAAACTGCTAATCCACCAGGAGGCCAGGAAGCATAAAAAGCTTCCTTTTATTCGGGCCGCCCAGAAAGAGTCTTTCAAATCCCTTTCACAGAGCAGTTGTCAAAGGCTCCTCAGTGTGCTACATTCTGCTGCTCTTTAGAAAGCAGTCGGCATTCATGGTCACTGTGTGCACTGTGGGTTCCTTTATCACCACCAGTAAAAGGCCCCGTGGGGGTGGGAAAAGCAGTCCTTCCTACAGACTTCCCACTTGGACACTTGACTGTGACTTTCTTCAGATGGTAACGGCTTCCTTCCCTGAGGGAGGGTCAGTTTCAGTTGCCAGATGTGCTGGACAGGGTGCTGGTTAGTGGGTTTCAGTTGCCAGATGTGCTGGACAGGGTGCTGGTTAGTGGGCTTCAGACCCAGCTGCCATTCACGAGTTGAGTGACCTTCAACAAATTGTTTTCTTTCTCTGTGGCAAATCAATTTATCTGAGCCTCATTTTCCTCATCTATTAAGGAAGGAGTTGAACATCATGATACTTAATTTTAAAATTCTGTAGTTTTGGTCCCTCATTTCCACTATGTAGTTAAAGCTGCACGGTGGATTTGTTGGACCCAGAGCAGATGTTAGCTAATAAATCATTTCTGTATTTGACCCAAGAAGCCTGATTAATTTGAACCCCTCTCTCTACCCAGCTCACACTTGGCTGATCTCTCAGTTTCTTGGATTTCAAGAAAAGGAAGTGGCTTCCTGCCTCACCTTTTCGTAAGGTCTGTGGTTGAATTGGACTAACTGGCTACACAAGGGTGCTTCGAAAAGCTCATGGAAGGATGCATATTGTCTTTTAATTCCATTTTTTCCACAAGCTTTTCCATCCTTGTATGTACAACAACAAGTGCTTTAAAACAAAAACAAAGTTTTCTCAAAGAGCAGGCTTGTCCTAAGGGAATCTTGATTTGAGTAATGTTTAAGGCATCTCTCTTCTAAGTAGCATCAATATACCACAAAAAGAAGCTCCCAAATACATAGTATGGCAAACTCTTCTAAAAAGAACATTATTTATGAGAGGCTTTCTCCTAAAGGGCTGCTTTTGTGGTCGTAATGTTACAGCGGAACTGTCTGGTTTCCCTTGTAAATACGTGTTCTTTGGCAATTCAGACTTTGGTCACTGCACATTCCCAGAGAAGTGCCTTGGCCTCCCAGGACCAGGTCGTGAGCCTCCTTCCTTTCTGTTCTGCTTGAAGACATTGGGAGAAAGAGTGACAGCCATGTCAAAGATGAACAAAAAGAACAGGGGCCAGTTCTTTGCTAGCTGTGATCATCTCTGCTGTCTGATATCGCCTCTTTTGTCTTGTTAAGATAAGCACTAAGGAAATCAGTCACTTTGTAGTTTCTGTGTCATTGGGCAGAAGATGCTGTTATCCCCAAGTACAAGGGTGGTAGTTTTTTTTTTTAACAGCAGGGAGTAAGAAATTGAAAATGCTGATTGACATTATTAAAAATTCTGGTTCTTTAACAGGCAGTTCTGTTTGAAATAGCTGCTGAAAGCTAAGAAGACACAGTTGGACTAAAAATCCAACTGGAGCTTTGGTTAAAAATATGCCTCTTGTGTTTTACATATACTAATTTACTAATGTGCCATTGTTATTGATTTGTTTTCATTTACAGTATACAAATACTTATCATGGCCATAAGCATATAAATAATATCATATAATCATGTGATAATAAACACACAGTCATGTAGTCAATGTGAATCATCTTTTTCAGTTTCAGGAAGACAGAATTTCACATTTTCATCATGAAGAGAAGATGCATCACGTTGTATCATTTTGAAACATAGTTGTCGATTCATCAGCAGCCCTGTTTCAAAGTATTAGGATGGTTGCTTTTTATTGATTTCCCACCTTCCTTTCTCTGTCATAGACTCCGTGAATTACCTTTCTTAAGATATTACTTTGGCCTCCTAATTTTTCATCCCACACAAGTTTGTACTTCTTTTCTTTTCTCTTAATTAAGCTTTAGGTACAGATGGGAGTAGGTAGGGAGGACAAAGGAGACGAAGATGGTTGGATTTCTGGCTTTTGTGGCTGGGTGAAAGGTGGCTGTGCTGTCAGTTGAGAGAAAGAGCAGAGGAGAATGGGGAGATTTAGGGAGGGGGAGACGAGAAGAAGGGGTTCTATTGCACAGCGTGGTGAACATAGTTAATAGCAGAGTATCATACGTTTCAAAATTGCCCAGAAAGTCAATTTGTGATGTTCTCACCACCAAAGATGTTAAGCATTTAAGATAATGGATATTGATATGAATTGTGTCCCCCCAGGTTTTATGTATTAGTAACTTGATCTCCACTGTGACAGTGTTAAGAGGGTGGGAAATACTATTATGGTAATTAAAAGGTAGGGCTTTGAAGAGGTGATTAGATTGTGAGGACCATGCATAGAGAATGGATTAATAATGGCAGTCACAGGCCTGGTTCTGAGGGTTTTAAAAGGAGAGCACATGAGTCTCTCTCTCTCTCCCCTGCCATTTTCTGCCATATGAGACCCCAGCATTGCTGTAAAGCCACCACCAAAGAAGACCCTCAACAGATGTGTCTCTGAACTTTGGACTTCCCAGCCTCTGACACTGCAAGGGATAAATTTTGTTTTCTTTATAAATCATCCAGTTTCAGGTATTTATGCTATAAGCAACAGAAACGGACTAATACAGATATGTTAACTGGCTTGATGTAATTATTCCACGTTGTGATCATAACTCATCACATCCCTTTGTATCCCATAAGTTTATACAATTATAAATTGTCAATTTACAATTAAAAACCCCAGAACTCCTCTCTTTGCAAAAGCCTCTTGATCCGCCCTGGTTTGTTGCTCCATATGCATCTCAAACCGCTTTCTCTGCCTCGCCTGCTGCTCTCCGCCACATGTGTCCCTTTGTGCCTCGACACACTGCTGGTGGCCCTGCTGTAGGGCTTTTGCAGTGCCCTTTGTGCAGGCTTTCTCTGCCTCGCCTGCTGCTCTCCGCCACATGTGTCCCTTTGTGCCTCGACACACTGCCGGTGGCCCTGCTGTAGGGCTTTTGCAGTGCCCTTTGTGCAGATCCTCCCATGGCTGACCTCTTAAGGAACTGGCCCACAGGACTGTGGAGGCTTGGCGAGTCTAACATCTGATGGGGTAGGAGGGCAGGCTGGAGATGCAGAGAAGGGCAGTCTGAGTCCAAAGGCAGGCTGCTGCAGGATTCCTCTAGCTCAGGAGAGGCCAGCCTTTGTTCTGTTAAGTCCTTCATCTGATCGGGTGAGGCCCACCGCATTCCAGAGGGCCTGCTTTCCTCAAAGTCCACCCATTTAAATGTTGATCTCATCCAAAAAACACCTTCACAGAGACATCCAGAAGATTTTTGACCAAATATCTGGGCACTATGGCCCAGCCAAGTTAACACATAAAATTAATCATCAGAGCAACCTTCTTCATAAGATTTTGTTGGCCTGCATGCAATAGACAGCATTTAGATTTGGAGTCATCTCTCTACTAGAAGCTAGATTTAAATTCTCTGAGTCCAATCAGGTAATGTCACCCAAGAAATCCTCAAAACAACAGGCATGAAAAAGATGGTACAAATTTTGTTTTTTCCTCCTTCCCTCATTTAAAAAATGATTTTTCATATGAAATACTTAAAACACTAAGAAAGTACAGAGAAAATAGTTTTATCTACTCTCCAGGTAAAACGAATGTTAACAGCCATATTTACTTCATATCTCTTTTTCTTAAGAAGTAAAACCTGACATATAGAATTAAGGCCCCCTTCTTTACTCCTTTCTGATCCCATTTCCTTCCCTACTCTTTTTCTCCAAGGGTGAACCACTCCTCTGAAGCTATACTTTCCATCTCTATTTTTTTATTATAATCATATATGTATGTTTCTGTGTATGTATAAAATATACAGTATTGTGTTTAACATTTACATGGTATCATGTTACACATAATGTTTTCTCTCAACGTGTGTTGTCTGGATTTGTCCTCGTTTATAAATGTAACTGGCTCCTTCCTTTTACCTACCGTGCAGTGTTTTATATACACACACACAAACACACACACACGTATCATTATTTGGTCATCCCTTTTCCTACATTTTGTACAATTTTTTTTGCTATTACAGAAAATGATGCATTATACACCCCAGATTATGTCTCACTGTACACATATATGATAATTTATTCAGAGTATATTCCCAGAAGTGGAATTGCTGGAAGGGTATATACATTTTTAATTATACTAAATATTGCCAAATGTCCTCCAAAATGATTATAACAATATATACTCCTACCTGCTGTACTTTAGAGTCCCTGTTTTCCTACATACTTGCCAGTACTTGGTATTGCCGCTTTTATTTTCCGTTAATCATATGGGTACATGGTGGAATCTTCTTATTTTAGTTGGCATGGATTTTTCTTGAGGCACAGCCTCTCTATGTTTATTGGCTAGATGGGTGTCTTCTTCTTTAATTACTTGTATAGATTTTTTGACCATTTTTCCACTGAACTCTTTTTTTATACTAACGTATAAGATTTTATATATTCTGGATACTAATCCTTTTCAAATATATTGGATACATGTATCTTTTCCTAGTCTGTGATTTTTCTTTTAAATTTATGGCCTATTTTTGAGGCACAGAAGTTTTTCATTCAATGAGGTTGAGTTTTGCTATTTTTCCTTTATAGTTTTTGCTCTGTCTATCCACCTGTAATTTATTTTTGCATAATATGTGGCATAGAGACTCATTTATTCGTTATTTTGTTAAAACACATATTATATAAAATTTAACATCTTGACCACTTTTATTTTTTTTTCCTTTTTGTCTTTTTTCGTGACCGGTAACGGGATCGCAACCCTCGGTGTCGTGCCCGTACCGCGACTGGCAACGGGATCGCAACCCTCGGTGTCGCGCCCGCACTGCACTCAACCAGTGAGCGGG